TAAATATTTTTACAAGGGTCTACTTCCAGCTCTTCATTGATCTATGGACTCATACACAAAGATTGTAAACTGTTGCATTGTACAGAAATCCATTCCTGTGTATGAGCAGCTATGGTACAATTCAAACATTACAAGTCAAACAACTTCCAATAATGTTGTAATGGTGAAAATGAAAGATACTCCAAAAAAACAGCAGCCAGAGAAACCAAACACTAAAGCAGTGAGTCAGCCCAGAGTGTCAGGTCAGTGGCCTTGTGCACAGCAGCTGTGTACACCTGCATAGCCTTGTGTCTAATGCTGGCTAATGCTGCATCCCTGTTATCTGTGCAGCAGAAAAGACTACTTAACAAATTAAAATTAGCAGATAAAAACTGGACTGTATCATGAACCACAGCAAATGAAAAATAGGATTTCCACCTATAGCAACCCACTATTTCTAGTTATTTAATCAATTCACAAAGAAAAGCTCAAGTATGGTAATTTTAACCATGCAACTGCAAGTTTCAAATCTCATTGGACTCAGCTGAAAAGAACTGTCACTTTTTTCTTATCCTGGTGTTGAGTCTGTTGTGCTGAAAAGTTCTGAAAAAAAGGATTAAACATGCCTTCTATAGGCACCAGCCTAGCATAGCCATTAGAACTATGTATACATACACACATACATAATCATCACATCTGCTCATACACATGGGCTGTGACTGTACTGCTAAAGTACAAGGCACTGAGAATATGTAATAGCTAGACTTCGACAGTAAATCAGGCTGCAGTACATATTACCCATCTACTGTAATGCTCCATTCAGGCACAGCCATACAAATCTGGGCTTATAGAGGACATTATATATATAAATATCCTGTAATCCAGCAGGGTTTAGCCTGACCTACATTTTATAGCTATTAGCATATACCCGGTCCCTTTGCAGGTAATTCAATCCCAGGCACAATATTTTATAGGATTAACAGGAAAGAAACCCTATTTTAGGAGCCAAGAGGGCTGGGGGCTCAGAGCACTCCTCTTGCACACTTGTTCCAGACTTCAGCCTGGGGTAGAGGGAACAGAACTGGTTCCGCTCTCACAGCTGCCTTGTCAATAAAGATCTACTCCAAGAGGGCACATTCCTCTCTGGCAGGGCAGGCACAGCATCAGAGCACTCCCAACGAAAGAAAGAATACTCACTCTGGGAGATATACTGTATATATATATATATATATATATATATATATATATATATAATTTATATGTATTATTACAAGTACTTATATAGCACTGTCAATTTACACAGTGCTTTACATATATATATAGTACATTCACATCAGTCCCTAACCCTCAAAGAGCGTACAATCTAAGGTCCCTAACTTACATTCATACATACACATACTAAGGCCAATATAGACAGGATCCAATTAACCTACCAACATGTCTTTAGGGTGTGGAATGAAACTGGAGTACCCAGAGGAAACCCACGCAGGCACAGGGGGAACATGCAAACTCCAGGCAGGTGATGCTGTGGTTGGGATTCAAACCAATGACCCTAGTACTGCCAGGCAGAAGTGCTAACCATTTAGCCACTGTGCTGCCCATATATATATATGTATATATATATATTTATATATATATATTTATATTTTAAAAGATGTTAAATAATTATATAAATATAGCACAGTGGCTAAATGGTTAGCACTTCCACCTGGCAGTACCAGGGTCGTTGTTTCAAATCCCAACCATGGCACCACCTGCCTGGAGTTTGCATGTTCTCCCTGTGCCTGTGTAAGTTTCCTCCAGGTACTCTGGTTTCCTCCGACACTCCAAAGAAATGCTGGTAGGTTAATTGGCTCCTGTAAGTACCTGTAATAAATTATATATATATATATATATATATAGATATATATATATATATATATATATATATATATATATATATATATATATGTATAGTTCCAAGGGCAGCCACCAAACTCTATGTTCTATGTGTGAGATATGCTTATCCTCTAAGAAATCTATAAAAATCCAAAGGAAGTATAGACACACTCACATGTGTTGCAGATGAGATAGATTAATTATTGACAATAAAATACTGTTGCTTTGATATCCTCTGCAAGAGGACCTGTGAGTGTCTGTATGTATACCTCTTATTTACCGCGTATATATACACACATCACACATACACACTTACACTTCATTTGTTTTCCTTTTAGGCATGCAATGGGGCTTATTTACTAAAGGAGTAGGCACTATTCACTTTGCAAATGGTCTCCTCCCTTAGCTTAAAACCTAATCAAGAAAATAACAAGCAGGATTTTTTTCCTGCTTATGATTGGGTGATTGAAGTAAACACAGTCTCACCTTATTTACTAAGTTCAGTGAACATTCACTTTGCAAAGTGAACAATTTTTATTTCTTTGCAAAGAGAAAATCCCCTTAGCATAGTAACTAAGGGGAAGCAGTGTTTGACTTTGAATGCTCAATGATGTGTGAGGGATACAAACATAGATTCACACATTGCACTAGTAATAATAAACGTGTAGACATCATTTTTTAGTGTTGCTGACAAATCCTGGATTTTTGTCTTGACATGATATAGAAGGATACACACTGTGGATTACTTGGGTAGACATGCATTGTATTGTCATCGTGGCTATATGAAATAATAATAATAATGATAATGATGAGTGCATGTTCTACTCCCACTGATAATACTGTCATTCACACACAATTTTCGGTCATAAAAAAGGGATATTGAAATAGTAAATCCTTATCTATTCTACATGATCATTGTGGAAATGCAGCAGAGTTCCTCCGCTGGGTATGTGGAGTCCTGCACGGTTCACCCCACTGCTCACAACGTATCGATGCCCCCGACTATTGCCTATAGATCATCCATTCCACATGAGGAAAAGGAGGTGCAGGCAATGACAGACACCTCTGGTCCTTTCTGCCACCTCTCAGTCCTTATCTCCCAGCATTGTTCTCATCACATCACCTCGCCTGCTACCAACAAAAGATTAGCTTTGTTTACAAAAGGGCTAATTGTTTGGGAGATCTATTTTAATAATTGCTTTCAAACAAGTAGTGCTAATGAGGATTAGTATAATTAGACTGAGAATTCTTTGTGTAATTTTACTAAATACTCCTTCTTCATACACCAAAGGAGGGAAAACTAATGAATGACGTTCCTGGGAATATTCTGATGTCGTTGTACTGGAAAAATGTGATGTCAGGGCTTGTGTGTCCTCCATACAGTCCCATATAGTCCCAGACAGAACCATGTATTGTGATACATCATGTAGTATACAGTCATCACAGCTCTGTCTACATGTTCCTGGATGAATATATCCATAGTGACCACACAGAGCTTCTCCTGAAACATGGTATCCCTATCACTACTTTCTCTACTTTCTTTATAAAAATATATATATATATATATATATATATCTCATCGACGATTTACTAAATAACTGAGATTGTTCACTAAAAAGGGGTGAATATTCACTTCAGTCATCCCATCACGTTATAAGGGAATACGTTTTTAGTGACTTCATCTGCACATAATCTATAATTGGATAACTGCTGTCAATCTTCACCATTTTTTAGTAGAGATTTGTGACTCCTTTTGTAAATCAGCTTCATAGTGTGTGTAAGTTCGATGTACAGGATATAGGTAAAGATAGAGATAGATAGATAGATAGATAGATAGATAGATAGATAGATAGATAGATAGATAGATAGATAGATCAATGATAGATAGATAGACAGATAGATACTATTACAATAAAACAATTTTTAAAATGTTTATGTGTGTGTGTGTTCTATACCTATACAGATACTATAGACAGACACTATACTCTAGATAGGGAGATAGACAGACTATTCTATAATACTATAGTATAATTGTATAATAAAAAATGGTATATCTGTTTGTATGATATAAATAAAAGCACATACCTATACAGATAGATAGATGCTATACTGTAGATGGATACACGGATACAGAGACATATATACAGTATATATATATATACAGGGTTTATATAGCACCAACAGTCTGAACAGTATTTTACAATATATGGGGAGACATTACAGCAGTTACAATAAATTACAAGAGGCCCTGCTCATAATGGCTTACAATCTAATATATATATTTAGTATTTATTTATTTTATATATATATGATATAGGTACAATTACATATGCAGACAGTATACTGTATCTAGGTAGATGTCTATGTGGATGTATCCATGGATGTGCAGGCAGATACAATGGTGTAGTATATATATAATATCTATATCTCCTCTCTATGCCATGTGATACTTCTATAGATGTGTGATTCCAGACAGTATGTTCGTGGCTCTTCCATCCATAGTGTGCAGGGTGAAGCTCCTGCCTGGGTGAATGATGTATGTGTATTCGCCAGCTATTCATCAGGTCATGTTTTATTCATGGGAAGCATTAAGGTAATGAAATAGCAGCTCACCTGAGATGGACAATGACATTTTGTGATTTTTTTCCTCCCACAGCCCGGCCGTCCTAATTGATTTGTGCAGAGATGAGTCTTTGGTCCCCTTAGGTGATACTTGAGAAGGGTGTCATGTTGCGGGGGCCCTGACGTGTCTCCCCCCGGAGGGCAGCATCATCATCATCACCACCCCCCTGCCCCCCCCCCCCCCCCCCCCCCCCCCTCCACAGTCTGCGCTCCATCTATGCTCTCCCGGACTCAGCCTGCCCCCTGCCTGCGCAGCCAATCAGCGCTCGCTCCAGCCCGGAGCTTTAAGGAGGCTTCTACAGGAAAGGACTTAGCAAACTTTCTTCCAAAGCTGCAACATCTCCCCGAGCCGAGCTGAGCGCATCGCCCGGCAGGATCTGTCCCCCGGCAGGATCTATCCCCAGTCCGGCAGGATCTGTCCCTCGTCCCGGCAGGATCTGTCCCCCCATCGCTTGGCTGACTTGTATGTCCGGAGCTGCTGGGCCCCGCGTCCGCCGGCGTCGTCCCAGGCACCCCGAGCCATGTCTATGTTGCCTTCGTTTGGCTTCACCCAGGAGCAAGTAGCCTGCGTGTGCGAGGTGCTGCAGCAAGGGGGCAACCTGGAGCGTCTGGGCAGGTTCCTGTGGTCCCTGCCGGCCTGCGATCACCTCCACAAGAACGAGAGCGTGCTGAAAGCCAAGGCGGTGGTGGCCTTCCATCGGGGCAACTTCCGGGAGCTCTACAAGATCCTGGAGAGCCACCAGTTCTCCCCCCACAACCACCCCAAGCTGCAGCAGCTGTGGCTCAAGGCGCACTACGTGGAGGCCGAGAAGCTGCGGGGCAGACCCCTGGGGGCGGTGGGCAAGTACCGGGTCAGGAGGAAATTCCCCCTTCCGAGGACCATCTGGGACGGAGAGGAGACCAGCTACTGCTTCAAGGAGAAGTCCCGGGGGGTGCTGAGAGAGTGGTATGCCCACAACCCCTACCCCTCCCCCCGGGAGAAGAGGGAACTGGCCGAGGCCACTGGACTCACCACCACCCAGGTCAGCAACTGGTTCAAGAACCGGAGGCAGAGGGACCGGGCAGCCGAGGCCAAGGAGAGGTAAGTGGCCACCGCTGGGATCCGAGGGGGGAGGGGAGCTGGAGGAGGCACGTTCTTCTGGGGCTTTTAGTATCCAAAAACACATTCCTACCAAAAGCCTGAGATCTGTGTTCTCCTTCAGGGGGGTCACCAGCTTCACAGAAGCTCTGTATTACCTTGTATTATCCTGAGATCCCCAACATCTGTGTTCTCCTCCTTCAGGGGGGGTCACCCCCTTTACCTGTTATCATCCTGAGATCCCCGACATCTGTGTTCTCCTTCAGGGGGGTCACCAGCTTCACATAATCTCTATATTACCTTTTATTATCCTGAGATCCCCGACATCTGCATTCTTCCTCCTTCAGGGGGTCACCCCCCTTTACCTGTTATCATCCTGAGATCCCCGACATCTGTGTTCTTCTCCTTCAGGGGGTCACCCCTTTACCTGTTATCATCCTGAGATCCCCGACATCTGTGTTCTCCTTCAGGGGGGTCACCAGCTTCACAGAAGCTCTGTATTACCTTTTATCATCCTGAGATCCCCGACACGTGTTCTCCTCCTTCAGGGGGGTCACCAGCTTCACATAATCTCTATATTACCTTTTATTATCCTGAGATTCCCGGACATCTGCGTTCTTCCTCCGTCAGGGGGGTCACCAGCTTCACATAATCTCTATATTACCTTTTACTATCCTGAGATTCCCCGACATCTGCGTTCTTCCTCCGTCAGGGGGGTCACCAGCTTCACATAATCTCTGTATTGCCTTTTATTATCCTGAGATCCCCGACATCTGTGTTCTTCCTCCGATCGTTCCTCAGCTTCACAAAATCTTTTTTTATTATCCTAGAAAAAGCCTGCGATCCTCGAGATCCATGAGATCTGTGTTCTCCACCTTCAGGGGGGTCACCAGCTTCACAGAATTTCTTTATTACCTTGTATTATCCAAAAGATCTTCCTAGCAAAATCCAGAGATCCCTGAGATCTGTGTCCCCTCCTGAGCGATGGTCAGCTTCACAGAGTATTTTTGTTATCCCAAATACCTTCCCAGCAAAGGGGATCTGTCAACATTCTAAGCGGTGATCAGCTTCACAGAATCTCTTTATTATTTGTATTTATCCAAAATACCTTCCTAGCAAAATTCAGAGATCCCCGAGATCTGTGTTCTCCTCCGTCAGGGGGGTCACCAGCTTCACAGAATCTCTTTTATTATCCAAAAGACCTAAACCTCATGTCCCCAGATCTGTTTTCTCTCCTGAGCGATGGTCAGAATCTTTTTGTTATCCCAAATACCTTCCCAGCAAAAGGGATCTGTCATTATTCTAAGCGGTGATCAGCTTCACAGCATCTCTCTATTATTTTTATTTATCCAAAATACCTTCCTAGAAAAATCCAGAGATCCCCGAGATCTGTGTTCTCCTTCTGAAGGGTCATCCGCTTCACAGAATCTCTTTATTATATTTCATCATTCAATACACCTTCCTAATAAAATGGATCTGTCATGGCTCGAAGTGGTGATCAGCGTCACAGAATCTCTTTTTATTATTTTTTTTCCTTCCTAGCAAAAGCCTGAGATCTGTGTTCTCCCGAGCGCTGGTCAGCTTCTCTCTACATTGCCATCATCTGTACAATAGAAGACATGAGGTCTGATCTGGGGTTTTAGTTTGCTGGATATAATTATTATTAGCTAAAGTTGTCCAGAAAGAAAATTGCCCGGTCTGTTTGTGGGATTTGTTCTCATTTTGAGCAGTGATCCCACAATCTCCCTTTTCTCACCATTTATGCAATGCATGAAACTTGATTGGGATTTTTATTTTCTGGATAAAATTATTAATAGAAAAAAACTGACAGGTCAGGTTCTGGTCGCTGGGATCCGTCCTCATTCTAAGCTGTGATCAGCTACACAGACTGTCATTCTTTTATCTACAAAATCTTACTCTCCATTACAATACATGAGACCTGATTCGGGTTTTAGTTTGCTGGATACAATTAATACAGTTATCCAGAAAGAGAATTGCCTGGCCAGGTTCTGGGGTCTGTTCTGATGATGAGCTCTGATCAGCTTCACACTATTTTCCTATACCGTGTTACTATCCAGTGCAATAGATCATTAGATGTTTTGGAGTTTTTGTGCTGGATCCAATTATTATTAGAAAACGTTATCCAGAAAGAGAATTGCTTGGCCAGGTTCTGGGGTCTGTTCTCATGCTGAGCGCTGATCAGCTTCATAGAATCTGCCTTATCCCATCATCTGTGCAATGTTACTATGCAATGCATGAGACCTGATTGGACTTTTAATTTTCTGGATACAATTAATAATAGAAAAAAATCTGACTGATCGGCTTCTGGTCCTTGGGATCTGTCCTCATTCGAAGTGGTAAAAAGCTTCGCAGAATCTCCCTTTTCTCGTTATCTAGATTACTATACATTACAATGCATGAGACCAGATTGGAGTTTTAGATTTCTGGATACAGTTGTCAATAGCAAAAAAGTCTAGAAAAAAACCTGACTGATCAGGTTCTGGTCCCGAGGATGTGCTCCTATTCTAGGCGGCGATCAGCTTCACAGAATCCCCCATTTCTCACATTCTATACAATATTATCACACATTACAATGCATAAGACTTGATGGAGGTTTTAGTTTGCTGGACACAATTAATAATATCAATAAAAGCGCCCGGGTTCTTGTCCCTGAGATCTGTTCTCATGTGATCAGCCTCACAGAATCTCTCCTTTCTCATTATCTATACAATGTTACCTTACTTACATTACAAAGCATTGGACCTGATTGGAGTTTTCGTTTTCTGGATACAGCTGTTAATAACTGCCTTGTCAGGTTCTGGTCACTGGGATCTGTTCTCATTCTGAGCGTCGATCAGCTTCACAAAATCTCTCTTTTCACATCAATGTTACTGTCTCCTACAATACATGAGCTCTGATTGATGGTTTAGCTTCCAAAATACAATTATTAGTATATAAAAAAAAACTGTCTGGCCAGGTTCTTGTCCTTGAGATCTGTTCTCATGTGATCAGATTTACAGAATCTACATTTTCTTATCATCTATACCATATGTTTATTAAAACTGTTTTGTTGGGTCAATTTGCTGGATTCAATTATTAATAGAAAAACAAAACTTAGGCAATGTGAGACTGGGAAGAGCCATTGTGCTTTCATTTCATAATCGCAAGCAAACGCATGCAAGCGCGTGCACCCTGCAGTTATTTATAGATAGCTATTTATAGTTATTTATTTACAGTTTGCAAAATACAGACCAAGGTAATTATTACATGCATAATGAAATACTTCACATTATATGCGCCCAACACCGAGACCCTGTATGTTGGTACTAGCAGGGCCAGGCAATGAGCAGAATGCTGAAAAGCATGCCACTTCCCCAGCAGATCTACACAGGGCTGTGCCCGGCTCTACCCCCCTCCTGCACTCAGAGATGGACTCACCGTTTGTCGGGGAACATATTGTGGCAGCCACATAAACAAATCCAGAGGTGGCTGTGGAGTCCTGTGTTTGCTTAGCTCACCACTAACTCCTCTGTGGCTGTCAGTGCCGGCCTCCCATGGCTGTATAGAGGAGATCACATTTATCTGGAGCCCCCAGCACATCTAAAGTTTCAGATCTATACTAGAATTTCACAGCATCCACTGGACTCCAGATCTGCTCACCCTGGCCACCCCTGCACACCGATTTTATTTTTTATGTAATGAGGACAAATACAAGGAATTAAAGGACTAATTTGTGTCTAGCCTCTGGGGGAAGACAGACTAATAGAGACGAAGATTTACACTTCACAAAATGACTTGGAGTTGTACGTAAAGCATGAGCACAGGATAATTAAAACAACCTGATTTATAGAATACAAGTGGAATACCCTGATAGTCTGCTGACATGGAAAGCATTGCCTCTGCCTTGCTGGCCATCACTTGGATGGGCGGCTCTGAATTTGGAGACTTTTGTTTTGTTCAAGAAAAAAACCCAGAACTAATTAGTGGAGTAAACAAAGAGTTTCACAATTTAGGATATTGTTGAAAATGTAAAAAAAGACAGATAGAAAAAAGAAAGAAAGAAGGAAGGAAAGACATTTTAAGATATACTATAGCAAAACGTGGAGGAGGAGAGGAAGACATGAAAAAAAAAAAGACAAAACAAAAACAAACAAAAACACTTTTAAGAAAAGTTTCAAAATGTAGAAAAAAATAGAAAGGAAAAAGAAAGAAAGAAAAAATAAGAAAATAATGAATACTATAGCTAAGAAAGAAAACGTTTCAGAATTTTGAGTATTGTGAAAAAGTCAAAAATAGATATGGAAAAAGAATACGAGTCGAGAAATTTTAAAAGGAAGAAAAAACAAACAAATAAATAGGTAAAAAGAAAGAAGAGATATATGGAAAAAGGAGTTTCAGAATGTAGGACATTGTGGGAAAAAAGATAATGTGTATTGTATTGTAATGTAATATGTAAGTATGGTAAGAGAAAAAGAAGAAAGGTGAAAGAAAAAAAAAAAAATTCAGAATTTTTGGGTATTGTGGAAACGAAAAAAAAAATAGATGTGCAAAAAGAATACGAGTTGAGAAATTATAAAAGGAAGAAAAGAGAAACAAATATATAGGAAAAGAGAAAGAAAGAACATATGAATAGAGGATGAATAAAAGAGTTGAAAGAAGTGTGAAGAATGTAAAACAAAACAAAAAAAAAGAAAGATAAGGAGATAGAAAAGATAAAGCAAGAGAAAGAGAAATAGATGCACAGAGAGAAAACAAAATAAAAATATACAAAAATCAAAAGATTACAAAAAGAAAGAAAATTTTAAAAAGTGACTAAAGTTTCTTCCCCTCTTTTCTTTTCGCAGGGAAAACACGGAAAACAACAACACGTCCAGCAACAAACAGAACCAGCTCTCCCCACTGGATGGAGGCAAATCTCTCATGTCCAGCTCCGAGGAGGAATTCTCCCCCCCACAGAGCCCGGACCAGAACTCAGTCCTCTTACTGCAGGGGAACCTCAGCCACCCCGGGGGCTCCTCATACTCCCTGAGCGCTTTAAGTGCCTCCCAGGGCGGCCACGGGCTCAGCAGCCATCAGCACCAGCTCCAAGACTCTCTCCTGGGACCCCTCACCTCCAGCCTGGTAGATCTAGGATCCTAAACAGACCATGGCCATCCATAGGGACTGCCTGGAGCCCCCAGAGGGACTGCACACTTTACTGTACATAGTGGTTTCAGAGCTCATCTCATGGTACTTAACATGTAAAGACTGAGAAGATAAAGTGACTTTTTTTTATTCCTCTCCTTAAAATAATGCCCCCCCCCCTCCCAACGCACCACTGAATGCTCTTATACCCCCCCCCCCCCCCCCCCCAGCTCTTCTGCAATTAGCCAAATGCTGAGGACAGGAGCTAAAGTCTCTCCTCCCGAAATGTCTCCCTCAGCCCATCAACAGCTGTGCCCAGACCTAGGAGATCTCTCTGCTTTATTTATGAAGATTTCTTTCTTTCTTTCTGCTCTTTGCGCCGACAGCTACACGAAAAGTGGATGAACCTCCAAATGGGGAAAAGAAAAAGACAAAAAAAAAAAAAAAACACCACTGAAGCCCATCGCAGCTTCTAAAAAGTCAGGGTTCATCCACTTGGAGGAGGTTAAGTTTACATTTTTTTCACATTAGTGGTTTAAAACGATTGCAAAAGTAGTTTATAATAAAATCCAGTATTAGAAAAAGAGATAACGACTTCTGTCTTTTGTTAAAATTTGCGGCAATTCCAACTGCGCCTTCATGTGCGCAAAGACCCCCTTTACCGCAAAGTACAGAGAGTCAAACTCTATATAGTCACAGAGTCCCGAACAAATCATAAAATACAATTCAATACAGCATAGCTACAGTCAGATACAAGTAAAACAGTAAAAAATACATGCATTGCGTGTGTTAATCAGGCGATAAATATAACGGCGATATATCGATGATTTAAATGCAATGTGTACACACACACCGATCCTTTCTGATAGGATTGAAAGCTGTCAGCAGCAATTCATATCCATAAAATACAAATCAATACAGCATAGCTACAGCCATATACAAGTAAGACAGTAAAAAGCATGCATTGTGTGTTAATCAGGCGATAAATATAACGGCGATATATAGATAAATGCATTGTGTATACACACACTCCGATCCGGTCTGTCAGTATTGAAAGCTGTCAGCAGCAATTCATTTCCATCTCTTGTTGATGAGTATAGGAAAACGATTAACTAGAATGACCTATCTATAACTATAATGGGCTGAACGCCCCTTGAACGCGAATGTTGAATATTTCAGTAGCTCTAACGGCTTGTCTGCAATAAATACACATCGGAGCTACAAAATGCCAAGTTGTGCCAGGATCTCAGCATGGTTTTCCTGTCGTTTCATTATAGGTTATTGTGTTTGTGTCATATTTAATTTTATTATGCGGGTAAAAGGACCTTGTAGGTAGTAAATCAGTAGCAGGTGATAGAATATGGGAGATATTTCTGAAGTCCATCTATGACATAAGAGGAGATGTATTCAGCTTTCAGGTTCTGCTCCCCAAGGAGGTGTTAATTGTCCAGTTGTATATTTTGACTCGCTATCAACTTTTCTAGAAGTCTTTCCATTTCTAGCAGTCTGGCTATAAATCTTTCATCTATGTCATGGGGGTTATTTATTAAAACTGGAGCACCCAGAATGGGGTTCAGCTCTGCAGACAAGCCAATCAGCTTCCAGGTTTTATTGTTAAAGCTTAATTAAACAAGCTGAACTTAGAAGCTGATTGGTTACTGTGCATAGCTGCACCAGATTCTGAGTGCTGCTGTTTTAGTAAACAACCCCCTATCTGGGGCTGATCTATGAAAACAGTGACAGAATATAGAAATCAGATGTCTTGTTTTTGTTTTTTAAGGGGGGGGGGACAGTGATTGCTGTGGTGGGCTAATGTAAAGTCACTTTTGAGGAATTGGAGTCATGGTCTATAATACAGCATGTGTCGGCATCGACCCATCAGGAGAGAAATGCAGTCAGGTTTTCATAGAGGACAAGCTCATGCCAAACCTCATTTATTGTTATTACTCTCTGGTGTTATATATTATAGAATATATTATAATATTATATTGTGAAATAACCGACTGTGGAAACTTGGAGAAGGGTATTGGAAGGGTGTAAGCTAGAGTTATCTCATACAAAAGTCTTTCCCCTCTGAGGGTATCAAGACTGGATCCATGGACAGTGGGATGTCAGCCATCTGATGCTCATATAGGAATAGGTCAGTGTAGCTGCTGCCTGTACCCTATGCACCTCTCTGTAGATTTCAGGGTACAAGGGGCAGCAGGTGACAAAGCTTAGGTCACTAGCAGAGTATACAGTGTAATAAGTAGCAGATATTACAGTTTAATGACTTACTGGTAAATGATACAGTGTAATAAGTGGCAGATGACACAGTGTATAAAGTGGTAGATAATGAAGTCTGGCAGAAGATACAATGTAACAAGTATGTGACAGATGATACAGTGTAATAGGCGGCTGGTAAATAATACAGGGTGATAGGTGGACGGCAAATAATAGGGGGTGATAGGTGGATGGCAGATAATACGGGGTGATAGGTGGATGGCAGATAATACGGGGTGATAGGTGGATGGCAGATAATACGGGGTGATAGGTGGACGGCAAATAATAGGGGGTGATAGGTGGATGGCAAATAAAACGGGGTGATAGGTGGACCAGGGGCGGACTGACCATTTGGAAACTCGGCCACTGCCCGAGGGTCCGGGGTCAGTAGGGGGCCCCATGAGATGCCCCTGGTACCTTTTTCATAGGCTTTTTTGAGTTTGGCCAAGGACACAGGGGCCCCATGATCCCCTATTGCCCTGGGGCCCCATGAGTTGTCAGTCCGCCCCTGGGTGGACGGCAAAAAACGGGGTGATAGGTGGACGGCAAATAATACGGGGTGATAGGTGGACGGCAAATAATATAGGGTGATAGGTATGTGGAAGATGACAAAATGAAGCAGGTGACTAGCAGATAAAGCAGAGAGGGGTCGCTGGCACCAGTGTGGCGGATGATACAGTGGGATGAGTGACAGATGATACACTGGAATAGTGTCAGATGATGCAGGTTATGATGGCAGATATACAGTGTGACAGATGATACAGTGTAATAATTCAATGGCAAGTGATTTTAAGTGTAATAAGTCAGTGACAGATGATACAACGTATTAATTCTCTGGCATATTCTAAATGATGGCAGGTTATACACGTAATAGGTGGCAGATGATGCAATGTAATAAATCACCAGCATACTATAGCGTGGCAGATGATACATTGTAATAATTCACTAATTTATGCAGTGTAGCAGATGGATACAATGTAAGAAGTCGCTGGCAGATCATACAGTGTAATAAATAGCAGATCATTATACCGTAATAATAAGTGGAAGATCGTACAGTGTATATAATAGGTAGAAGATCATACATTGTAATAAGTGACAGATCATACAGTGTAATAAGTGACAGATCATACACAGTAATAATAATAGGAAGATCATACATAGTAATAATAATAGGAAGATCATACATAGTAATAATACGACGAAGATCATACATATCAATAAGAGGAAGATCCTTCAGTGTAATAATAAATGGCAGATCATACAGTGTATATAATAAGAAGAAGATCATACAGTGTGATAATAGGTGGAAGATCATACAGTGTAATAATAAGAGGAAGATCCTTCAGTGTAATAATAGGTGGAAGATCCTTCAGTGTAATAATAGGTGGAAGATAATACAGTGTATATAATAAGAGGAAGATCATACAGTGTATATAATAAGAGGAATATAATACAATGTATATAATAAGAGGAAGATCATACAGTGTATATAATATAATAAGAGGAAAATAATAGGAGGAAGATAATACAGTGTATATAATAAGAGGAATATAATACAATGTATATAATAAGAGGAAGTTCATACAGTGTATATAATAAGAGGAATATAATACAATGTATATAATAAGAGGAAGATCATACAGTGTATATAATATAATAAGAGGAAAATAATACAGTGGGATAATAGGTGGAAGACCATACAGTGTATATAATAAGAGGAAGATAATACAGTGTGATAATAGGTGGAAGATTTTACAGTGTAATAAGCAGATCATACAGTAAATAAAAGGAAGGCATCAGTTGGTGTCATAGGCACTGACAGATGTTCCAGTGTCATAGGTTGTAGATAATACAGTGTTAACAAGTTTCAGCTCATGCAGTGCAAAGAGGGGCAGCAGGTCAATGGAAGAGCACAGGGATAGAGGTAGCAGTGTAATGAGCATTGGCAGAACACACAGCATTAGAAGGCACTGGCTGAGAAATTACTAAAGGCAACAAGACTGTGCACTTTGCAAGTGTAGTTACACTCTTCAAGGACATTTGCTCCAGGGCTTAGTAAATGAGATGAAGTTTCACTTTGCAAAGAATACCCAATCACATGCAAGGAAAATACAATAAAATACAATTTCTGGCACATGATTGGATGATGGAAGTTAGCAGAGCTTTTCCTCGTTTACTAATCTCTGGAGCAACTGTACTTTTAGAGTGCTCAGTCTACTTGCCTTTAGTAAATCAACCCTAATGCCTTGTTCCACAGCATATAATATAGTGCATTAAGTGGAATATCAAAGTTCTAGTATCAAAGGTAAGCAGATCATGTAATGGGTGTCAGCAGATGATACATTGTTATGGGGCGTTGGCATATGATGAAGTGCAAAAGGCAGCAGATAGTAGAATGGAGTAAGTGGTCGATCATACAGAAGATTATGCTGCATTATTGTGTCCTGGCAGGTGACAGTGTACTTGGTGACAGAAGATGCAATATAGAAGGCAGAAATGCAGTGCAATAAAAGGGCAGATCACACTGTGTAGATGATACAGTACTGGTGGCAGATCATATTGTGAAATAAGTGACAGATTCTACAGTGGAGTAAGTGGCAGAATACAAAGTGTAATAAGAGGCAAATGATGGGGGGTTGGTACATACAGTGCAATAAGAGGTAATTGATGGTTGGTTGGTACATACAGTGTAATAAGAGGCAGTTGATGGGGGGTTGGTACATACAGTGTGATAAGAGGCAGTTGATGGGGGG